TATGTGCTGATTCTACAGTTTGCTGTTTTATTTGCATTGGAAACTGATTTGGGAAGAACTCTGTTCTCAGTTCTGTTCTGATGATAATAATATCCTTTTCTACAGAAACTACACTCACAGTCGCACTTGTAAGTTGTGCTTATTGAGACGAAGCTCTTGATGTAAACCGATGCAAAGTTTTTGTAGGAATTCAGATTGAAGCAGTTCGTGACCTGAAACAAGCCGAATCTTCTCAGCCCATAACTTGGGAGCAAATTCTGATTAAGGAACTCATGTCAGAAAGCAAAGTTTAAGTCATTGCCTTATGTGTAATTCAGATAAATGCTAAAGATGAGGTGGAACGAAACTCATGAACAGGTTTCTGGACAAGGGCTGATGAAAATTATGAAAAGAGCTTGATTTTGAGGTTGTTTATCAGTTGTTACAAAATTTAGAAGGGGATTTAAATTTCACTCTGGTTGAAGGCCAGATCTTTTATGGATTCTGTTAAAATCTTCACGAGGGACAGGTTTTTTAATGTTTTCCTTCTATAAAGTGTGAGATTTTATTGACACATCTGGTATGCACTGAAAGGCAGGGCCTCAGCTGAGTGGACCACTGCTTGGGGCCAATGTGTTTCTTTCTGAAGCCTGTGGTTGCACAAGATATTTCTCAGAAAAATCCATATCTGTAATCTTTCTCCATTGATCCTGACTTATCTCTGCCCTCCAGGAATTCCCAGCCAGGCTCATTTTGCTTCTTGTTTACACTATCTACTAAAGCAACAAATGTATTTGTACAGCAGTGCTTTGGTAGTACTTGTGGGTCATACCACACTACTTTTGTAGTTATTCTATGCCTCATAATGAGCTTGTTTGAAATGAGAGTATGGATGATTTGCCAGAGTAAATTGTTTTGCTGCTAAATTCAGTGACACTTACACAGCAAATGAGGGTTTGGCCCATATTAGCATTTATTTCCTTTAAAAGGGAATGACTTTGAAAAGAGCCCGTAGATTCACGGGACTGTTATTATCATAGCTCACTAATGATAATTACTGTGGAATTTCCTGTTTGAGGAAATCCAACAGTGAGTTCATAAACATGTGTGAAAGCAATGAAGAGGAAAAACAAAATTCAAACTACTCTTCAGTCCCTTAAATCTTGCTTTCGATTCGCAGCTTCCTTCAGCATTCAATTCTATTTTGTAGCAATGAAAGGCTCTGACAAGTTGCCTGAATGGAGGGTAGTATTACCGAAACAAAACCAGAAACCAAGCAATTCTTTTTTATTGACATATATTATTTTTTACTCTAAGTGGTGCAACAGGAATTTCTACTTGCCTTTTAAATTAATGTTTTTGCTTTATTATACATACAGTAGTACTGCACTGCCATTTTAGAAATTAGAGACACATTGAGAATACTGGAGGTTCCACCGAATCTATGTATTTATATTGCATTCATTGTGGTAACTGATACATTATACAACATAAATAAAAAGACACGGTGCCCATATTAAGTCATTTTGTGTTAGAGAGCTCTCATTTGTGACTTTCTCTAAAGAAAATTTTAACAATAGTGATTTATGTTCCTTAAGTGAACCTGTACATAAATTACAGATTTAGAGATGACAAACATCATACATTTGGTTCTGGTTCATATGAAGTAAAATACTAGAAGATATACACACAGTAGAGTCAAATATGGTACACCCTCCTATATAGTAATCTCTTATTTTGAACCAAAAAAGGTTGCATGACTTACTCATCTTAGTCTGGTGAGGTGTCACAGCCTTACTCGAAAACATAACCTTGATGTTTCTGTTGATCTTTCCTCCAGTTTGCATAAGGTCAGCTGGCTTCAGTGTTGAGTCTTATCTTAGAGACCCACCATGCAACCTACTGCACCTTGAGAGAAAACAGAGGTGATCTTTTACCAAGTAAAAATGTGCACCCTGAAGTTATTCCACTATTTTATCAGTAAAACTTGCCTTCTGTGATGAAGTCTAATCTATACTTAGCTTTAGATCCCACCTTTGGAATACTCATCATCTACCAGCATGCTTAAAATAACACAAGTGGTATACACCTTGCACAGGCGTTCTGCCACCGGGAGATGATGAACAGCTCAGTCAGCAGCGAAGGCTTCCAGTAACAATCCTACAGTTCTTACAGTCATCGCTGCTTTGATTTGAATTTTGCTGCTCAGAAGATGTCAGTGACTGGAAGCTCTTCCAAATTTCTAATCTCCTTTTACAAACTGAGCTCAGTGCCATAGGATGGGATCCATGTAAATCTGTCTCTACACAACCAGTTTATTCAGACATGCAGAAGGATGCAGAGGGACTGACATACAATAGGGGAGAGTCATGCTGGATGAGGGAGATGGAAGTACGGTGGTCCAGCCAAAAATCTGGACTTGCATTCCTCCCCTCTCATTTGTGTTACTGCACTGAGGAATTAAATGTCACTCTCAGCAAGGACCTCACCATGGTCTTCTCCATCTGGAAGAAAGCAGTCTGGAGTCTCGTATCAACTGGGAGCTAATTAAGAAAGCAGCAAAGTCCATGGAAAGAGATCTCTCTTAAGACCAAACTAATACCAGAGATAAAGCTCTTTCTAGGTTCTGTAGGACAAACTTAACACTTCATTCACCCATGAGTTTCACTTCTGCATCTTCTTTTGAGATGGCAGTTGGAGTGCAATTGGAGATGAGCAAAAAGTTTTTATTTTAAAATAGTAAGATTAAATCCATTGACTGGGCATGTTCATAAAGGGGAAAGTAGAAGCAGTGTTCTTCAACTGTTATTTTTGGGTTGAAGACCAAATGTTAATACAACAAAGACACAAACATAAAGAAATGCATTTGAAATGGAAAGGAGGTATACACAAAGCAAAGCCAGAGCATTCAGGTTGCATACATAAAATCTCAAAGGCATGATTGTAAGTAAATATGGGAACTAGGCAATCTGAATGTGTGGTTTTGCAGAAGAAACCAGTGATGCAAGCTTTGGAGTAAAAAAATATATTTGGCTTTTTTGGCCCTGAGGGATTAGTCTAAAATCAATCACAGGCATGCTGTACCTTAATTACATATCAAACATAGTAGCCACAGCAGCCTAGGAAAGACACTGGGACGTCTAGACTTTTGTGTGGGACTTGTACTTGGTGAGAAAACAGACTGATCCAAGCAGCTATAGACTCTTTTATCTGACCTCATTAGTACACAAAGCTTTAGAACAAATGATGAAGGAAAAACTAATTAAAGATGTGGAGGTATACGAAAAACTAGTTAAAATGCATCAAGTCTTCACTAAAGATAGAACATACCAGACTAAGCCACTATCTTTGTCTGATAAATCATTTTCTCAGACAATGAAAATACGGTAGATCAAATCTATCTGGACTTCAATAAAACATTTGAGAGGATGCCATGTGAGAAAATATTAATTAAGATGGAGAGATGTGAATGAATGTAAGAAATGAAAAGTAAGGACAATAGTGTGTGCTGAAAGGGAAACTCTCGATGGAAGGAGGTTACTAATGCAGTTCCATAGGGACTGATCTCAGAACTAATCTTAGTTAAAATTTTATTAGTGACCTTGGCACAAAAACCATGAGTGTGCTAATAAAATTTGCTGATGGCTTGAACCCAAGACCTGCTGTTACAACAGAAAAGGATTGGAATACCCTATGGAAAGAACTGGATGAGTCTGTGGACCGGAGAAAGAGAAATGACATGCAATTTAATAGTAGGAATGCGAAGTTGTGCACTTAGCAGAAATTCCTATTAATTCTAGTAAAGTGAGGTGAGGAGGAAGCTTCTCCAGATGGACAGCAGAAAGAAAAGATACAGCATGAATGAATCACTCGGGAGCAGGAGTCCTCAGTGAGCCAACTTCTGTTTGGAAAAGGCAGTGCGAGGGGTGTACCATGCAGCCAGAGCTGTAAGGGCAGTCATACCAGGTCAGACCCCACGTCCCATAGCCCACGCTTCTTATAGTAGTTGCCAGTAGAAGCTGGGGAAGGTGAGTCTGACAGGATTTTCCCAGAGCAGCGGAAGCATCCGGCAATTTGTGACTCAGTGAGGTGGTGTTCTTGTGCCTCTAATTGTGTGCGTGTGTGTCCGTCGTCCCCCCCCCCCCCCCCTTTTTTTTTATTTTGCTTTTTACTTATATTGACTTATCTCAGCTTACTTCCCGCTCTTTTACCGGCACTGACAAATTCCTAGCATGAGTTTGAGGGAGTATAAAGAAAGTGGCATGATCCCAGTGAAGTTGTGGAACAAAAGATCAACCTGGTGTCTTTTGTCAGGATGCTGACTGTACTTTGGGCCTCCCCAAACCGCACAGGGTCACTTGGGTAGAACTAGAGGAGCTACTGGTGTCACATGCTTGTATAAAAGTATGTGAAAAGGGTAAATGTTGGTCATACACACTGGAAAATTACACTGGTCAGACATGGCCTGCTCACTCCCCAGGCACAGGGTGCAGTGCCACTGAAGGTTTGCAGTGCCGAGCCCACCAGCACGCGTGTGCCTTACAGCGAAGGGCCACATCTGCCTCCTCGAATGCACACGGCTGGAATGAAACACAAAGGGCGAGTCCCCCCTCGGAGCTCTGTGTCAGTATGTTCATTGCTCCCCGCTGTAGTCAGATGGCAGTGCTCAAAAACTTGGTAACTCATTTATTTTTCCCCCTGGACCACAAAGAGGCAGTAAAAAAAGATGAATTTCCACGTCTTGCTTTTGGATCTGGTTCGGTTTTCCCCCGTCAGCCCCCGCCCAACAGGCCGGCGGGGCTCCGTGGGCCCGGGCACAGCCGCCCCGGCCCCCCACGCCCGGCCGCCTCGCCTCCTCCTGCCGCCAACCACCCGCGGGAAACGAAACTGAAAGCCCAGGGCCGCGCTGCGGCTCCGACACCCACCGGCATTTGCTCCAAAAGCCGCGCCCCCCCCCCCCTCTACACCTGGGTGCAGCCCGAGCTCCCAGCGCCCCGCTCCGCCCCGCCAGCCCGGGGGCGACAACGAAGATCCTCGCTTCCCCTCCTCTCTGCCGCCGCCTCCATTTCGGTCAGCGGAGCCCGATCCCGGTACCGGCCCCGGGCCTGAGGCGAGGGCAGCTCCGGCGCGGCCCAGCCGCCCGCGGGTGGGGCCGGCCCCGGGGCGGTGCTGCCGCGGCCCACCCGCCTCGCCTCAGCCGGGAGAAGCACCTGTGGTGCCAGCGAGCCCCGCGCCGCCGCCGCCGCCGCCAGGTACGTGAGGCCGGCCCGGCCCGGCCCGGGGAGCGCGCAGGGGCCCGGGCTGGTCTGTCCGCGGGGGCCCGCCCCGCCCCGCCCCGCCTCGGCTCTTTACCCTCGGGGCTCCGCGGCGGTTTCCCCCGGGGCGGCAGCGGCGCCCTCCCGGCGAGGGAAGGTGAAAGCAGCTGGGCTTCCCGGGGGCGGGGGGAAGGTGAGAAACCCGCCGCCGGGAAGGGTTTGGGGGGCGGCGGGGCGGCGCGGCCCGGGCCCGGGGCTGCCTGGGGGGAGCCCGGCGGGACCCGCGGGGGCTCTGCCAGGGAGCGCTTCGGAGATGCGTGTGGGTGTGCACAGGTGGGTGTCAGACCGAGCGCACTTCGTGCTTCTCCTTGCAACAACCTGTCGTGCAGCCCTTCGGGTGCAAGGTGCGCTGCCTAAAGGCGAAGCAACCCACGGCGTGGTCTGGGATTTTATTTCCCGCCCCCCCCCCCCCCCCCCTCCATTTCTCTCCATCGGGTAGTGGCTGCGCCGAGCTCACGCCACGGAGGGTGCCTGGGCAGGCTCGGTGTGTCCTTTCTGCAGGAGGCTTTAATTTTTAGTTTACCACAATAATATGATTCAAAGGTCATAACCAGAGACAGGTTTATACAGTAACAGGTATTATACGAGGCTGTCATTTTACACCGATGCTTACACCTCAGTCTGAGAACTGAGCCTTGTGGCTCTTTGCGCAAGGATATGACTCAACTGAATAGGATTTTGTACCTTAAGAATGTGTGAAATAGTTTTGCTGCGTCTGATGGTTGATAGGTGAATTTGTGTTCTTGTGGCCATCCCCACTGATTTCATGGGGGAACTTCATAGGACGAAAAGTTTCTGTATGTGAGTCCTATTGCAGAATTGGAGCTTGCATCAATGCAAAACCTCATAAGAAACACAGAAAATGGGGTAAAACTTACAGTAAACATTATGCGATTGAGATTCTGTAACTATAAGCCATAAAATACCTCTTAAGAGAACATCTCCAGCGATATATATTGATACATTGTGCTTTTAGGGTTTTCCTTCACTTTCATCCTTTTTGTTACCAGCCCTTTGAAAATTGATGCCTCGTCACAACCATTATAATGTACATACATTTGTTCACTTTTCAGCACTCCTCCTATGTGTGTAGCATCATATTTTTGGCACGTAGTTAAAATCTGTGTCAGTGTACATGTGCACAAGAGGCTGTATTCATGTTATAGATGAAACTTTCACTCCAAGCTTTCCAGATGTTTGAGTGATGACCTTGTTATTTTGTAGCAAGTTTTCCAGGCAGAAGGTGGCACAAAGCTTAGTTAAGACCGATTTAACTCCGGGCAGGAGTTGTGGGGGGATGTGATAGGCTGGGAGTACAGACTGGAACCGGTTCTTCTCGTTTGTTGCCATTAAGCATTCCTACAATTCCTCCCACTCAGCTCCCCTTCCAAACGCAGGCTGGTAGAAGTCCACCAAAACCATTTAAGGTGGACAAAAGACACTTGCAAGGCAGGTAAGCAGCTCGCCTGAAATCTAATGGAAAAGCTTATTCCTTGTTAGATGCCTTTTCCCTTCCCACCAGGGTAACCAACCGCACAGCCAGGAGTTTCCTGACCTTGATGCTGTATTGTATTGATTACCTTGCTGGGGTTTTGGCTTTTTTTTTTTTTTTTTTTTTTCTTTTTTATTAACACAGGTGGGCTGTTGGCCTGGTAATTCGTCTCTGAGCTGAATGATCACTCAACTTCTTTTCATCCTGTCTTTCACTTCTGCAAGTCCAGCCCAGATGGCTGGATGCAGGAGTAAAGCTCCTCATGGAACGGTAGTCAGGGCCATTGAAGGTAGGATCCTTGCTTCTGACACCAAAGCCTCTTCCAAGGAGGAGTGACCTCTGCTTTTGGGAGACGTTCTGACATCTAAGTGTGATTTTTGCCACTGACATGTTCTAGGCCTTCGGTATGCTGCCTAAAAGAGCATGCCATTTTAGCCTGAAATCTAGCAGTTTGCTGAGAGGTTTCTGAATAGATCTAAGTCAGGCAGTGATGTTTCTGTAACCAAATAAATTATTTTTAAAAGTTGCTTTTACACAAGTCGCTTATTCCAGCATCTTCAGACAAAAATGTGCAGCAATGCTAGGTGGAACTAACTTTAATAAGTAAAATGAAACTGAATTCCCTGTGTGGTTTTCTTCATTGTTAGAGCAGGAATTCAAAAAGTAAATAAACATGGGGAGATGTAAACCGTATTTTTAAAGTTCTTCTGGATTGAATAAATGTTTAATAATAGTACTGTTGGGGAAATGTGTAAACAGTATTTTCTATACTTCCTTGAACTCTTAAGATTTTTTTTTTGTTAGGAATATAGATAGAGCCATGAAGTCATTGTGTGACTGAGCTGAGAGAATATTCTACATGCTTATGTGGGTATTGGTTTTTATCGGTTCTATTTTTTTTCAGATAACTTGTTCACAGTCAAAACAGTCCTTGGTGTAAAGGGCTTGTGCATACTATAACTATTTATGCTGTGCTGACTGGATTGGTTTAATTTTGAAATTCAGATAAAACAGAGCAGTCATTTTTTAATAGGCATTGTGTTATTGAAACTATTACTCTCATTTCTTTTAAAATTGATTTTTAATTTTTTTTTTCTTTTTAATGAGACTTAACAGAAGATTGTAACTCTAGGGTGAAGATTTTCACCCTGCAGACTGTCTAAACCACAGTCCAAGATCTTGCTCTGGCTAGGGATGTAGGATGCAACTCTGAGAGGTGGAAATTAGGGAATCCAGGCAGGATGCTGCTCAGGAGAGGGTCGAGGAGCTAAGGCTGGGGGTGTCTCGACAGCATTAGTCTGAGTAGCTCTTGCTGCTCATCACATTTGCAGCTGGGGTTTCTGGTTTCTTGCCAGCCTCCACACCAACAAAACCCACTGCCAGACAAATGATACAGACTGACCGTGGGAACCATTTACAACCTGCTTGTGAGTTATGTGAGGCTGGAGTCACAAAGGTGGACCCCCCCTTTGCTTTTGAAGAAAAAGGAAATTACATTTGTATCTGGTGGCTTTCCTGCACATCCCCTGCTTCACTGGCCCAGCTGAACTGCAGAAAAGAAGCAGCTATTTCATGTTCAGGATCGAAGAGGTCTGGTTAGGATTTATATATAAAAAAAAGAAAAAGCACATACTTTTTCATAAAAAAACAGGCTATGTGGACACTATCAAAATTTTAACAATATAAGAAAATAAATACAGAGGAAAAGAATTTGGAAAATATAAAATCCTGATGGTTTTAACTGATATTTTTTCCCAAAAAACCCCTGTAGAATATGTGGGTAAAAGTACTGATGAAGGGAAAGTTTAAGTCAGCAATATCTTAAGACTGAAAAGGAATGAAAATGCAGAGTAATTGTACAAGTATTACCAAAAGACCTTTATTTTAGCAACACTGCTGGATATTACTATAATAAGGCACAAATTCTGTTGTATGTGTACACTATTCCAGCCTGACAGCTTACAAACTGACAACCTGGTGCCTTTTCAAGGAGACAGTTGTCAAAAAAGCTTTCTTTGGATCAAATGAGGGACTGGCAGTATTACCAGTATACTAAGGAGTGGTTTTGTTGAACCATCAAATTTTCTCTGATCCTAACTAAAGTGAGCTTTTTTTGTTATAAAATATAGGGCGTTTTTAAAAGATTTAATCATTGACTTATAATACGTGGTTTAAGAAATAAGAACATTTGAGGGAATTAAAAATAAAGAAGAAATTATTATTCCTTCTCTGCTTCTACTGGATGTCTTATTTTGGTGATACTTACCGAATCTTTCATTCTTTATTACTGAATTCACTTTATATGATATTAATGCAATCCATATTCTTTTTAGAGTTTTTCTCCTCCTCCTGCTTACTCTGTATTTGGAGGCATAATCTTTGATCTATGATGACAATAATTTTCATGGCATATGCAGACATTGCAGACAGGGAATAAGTAGCATGAGCTGATGAACATGTAAGAAATGACAATCCTCTAATCATGCAAATATGGGATGTGATGGGTCAAGCCACGCATTTGTAAGAAATTTTTAATCTGGTGAGTGCTGCCATTTACTATACCTGGGCCTGCAGGTGCTTCTGAGAATCAAGGACTACGTGTCCAATACCAGCCACTCTGCATGGAATTCTAGCAGTTATTTGGGTTTTTTCTCTGTAGACTGGTGGCTATGCTCAGTTTTCTTCTATTCTTAAGCCAATTCTTTATGTCAGGCTAGTCTCCATATGCTTAGTTCTTTGAAGAGCAAAGCATCTCTCTATATATAAATGGTTTTGAGGAAAACCAAATATATATAGGTATCTCTTTAAGCTATTTTTTCATGCTTTTAAACTGTTCCAAAAATAAGGATTATACTTCTGTTTTCACTGTTCAGGAAGCATGGCAGGTATGTTGGTTAAGGGGAGCAAGCTAGGATTGGCTCTCCTGAGAGAATTGCTCTGTTCATATTACTTACTTGTTGTCTGTTGGCAAACTCATCATCCAAGAGAAAAGTTTTGTTTAAAGACTTGAAAAGTACCTCATTGGAAATCATTGGCAGAGGCAAAAATGGATTCTGAATCAACTTTAGTAGCTCTGAGACCATCCCTTCTCTCCTGCATGCAAGCCTTGTCTCTGACTACATCCACTACATTACTTAACAAGAGGGAAAGACATTTCAGTAGAAATGAACGGTGGTTCTTCAGATCACATTCTCCTTTGCAGAAGCTGAAGAAAGAATTACATGGAAAGAAAAAGTACTGTTCTGAGCCTGTAATTAAAAATAAGTCTTTGCACATATGCATAGGGACCTAAAATCACATTGTCGAGGCAAACTCATCTCTGACATTCCTGAAGAAACCTTAGTGTTAGGCTTGGGAAGCACACTGATATTCTTGTCACAAACTCTGTGGCTTTGTATCCATATATGAACTTTTAATTTTAAAAAACATGACAATTCTATTGTAG